ACGTCGTAATATTTACTCGAGGCGCGAAACGAAAACTATTTTTGCGCTTTACGAGAAAGAGAAAGGTCGATTTCGCTTCGAATCCATGCCTCGAAATGGACACGAAACGGAAATTCAAATTCTATTTTATATAAAGAGGGGGAGATTCGTGAGTTATTTCGTAAGTAAGTTCATCGACTTTTACGGTATATAACACAGCAATGATATTCTCGAATTTTCTTTAAAATTCTGTCTAAATTTTGAAAATTCCGAGTATCATAGTCGGAATATTTTCTACACGTTGTACGATTTAATTAATTAACAATTCGTGTTTTTACAAAATAATATCGCGTGCACCAAAGAAAATACAAGGTTTAAAGTGGATATTTAACACGGTGGAAAAATAATTACACGACGATTGAAGTAGACCCAACGATGAATAATATCCGACGGTCTATTGACCCTTACGTGTTACGCAGTATTCCAATAATTTCGTGTTGAATTTACGGAAGCTATCGATTACTCGTTAATTTAAATACGTTAATTAATTCACAAACGCGTCTATAAATAATATTTAAAGATATTTCGAGCTGTATTTTTAATTTTGATCGATTAACAATGTATCGAAAAAATCGGACGTTCGAAGAGGAGTTCAAAAGACGAGGAGAAATTCCCTGTTTATCGACATATAAATACGTAACAAGGGATATTCAAACACGGGAAAGGAGAGGAGCCAAGTTTTGCGAAGATGGCTTTAAAGTTGGTCACTGGAAAATTCATATATTTATATCATACCAGTTTCAATGGTGAATTCCTTGTAATATATGTATGAGTTTAAAGCGTGCCTTTTGCGCTACACTCGATGCCAAGAGGTGATTCCCTATTCCGAAACTTGTACCGAGACTGTTCAACCACACGGTTGAATACACTCGCGTGCTCGCATACTTTTTGTTCCATACGCGATTCTCGCAACGTCTCAATGTATCTTATGTACGAAAAAGCAGTCGGCGGATCGCATTCAAATTTTACGCGCATTTCGCTATTTTTATATTTTTCTTCCAAGCCCGTTGCGAATATTGCAAATATATACTATGATTTCACTGTGAAAAAGTTTGAAACCAAGGATAACGTCTCCCGGATTACGGTGTATATAGCGAACGTGGTTGAGTTGTTGGGAAGTAATTCCGTTTTTTCACACAAGCGTCGCTAGTCAAACGTTTTTCCAGCCAACTTCATTCTGAACCGTGACGTTATTATATATTTTGAGAGTTGGCATTTCACGGTTTATTTATGAGAAAAATTCGCTCGATTCTGCGCATATTGTGTTCTCCGCGCGTGATAATAAAGATGGAAGGCCAAAAGGAACCATTTTCAACATATTTTACTTTTTTATTATCGAAAAGTTATATGGAGATGTATCAACGATGTTAAAACTAGTTTTCAAAATTTCAACGTTAAAGATAGAAGCCACGTTCTGGATGACCGGTTAAAGCAAATCGACTCGAGAAATTGCTACGAGAGATTGAATTTCTCGAATTCGACTGTTCGTGATCGCGAAATAATTATGATTACGCTATTGTATACATAATTTTTAAAACGTCTCGTATTATTTTCACAATATACGTAGTCTATTAGGCAAGGTTTGCCAAGGAAATAGCAATGATCAATCGCAATAACGAGATTCCGTTCGAAAATGATTCCTGTTAGAGATACCGAATCTCAACAGGGATCTTGGATAAGCGAATAATGGGTAAAGTCGGATCATACAGAGCGACGTAAGGCAATCCGGCTGAATACCGCGGCAACTTCCATTAATTAGAACGGGATCCAGTCGTAATGTTCATCGACTTCCAGTGACAAATTTCGATCGTTTTAATAGATTTTAATAGATTTTAATAGATTTTAATAGATTTCGATATTGCGGCGATCCGCGCGATTTTGGAAAATTGAGATTGGAATAACTCGATTCGTTCCTAGAGCTATATTTAGCAATAAAATTAATTCATTTTCTATAGTAAAACCTTTGATCAAGAGCAAAGTTCACGTGCTAATAAAGGTATTTATCATTAAATTTGCAAAGTTCTAAAGTCCTTGTTTGTTTGAGGTTACAAATATTCCGATTCGCTTGTAAACCCACTAAAGCGCCCCCTCCATGCTTGTTTCGCGAGATCGCGAGCGTTCATCACGTGACACGCGAGCGGCCAATGACGCCATGGACCAGCCCCTCGATCCAAGGAAAATTCCCACGGAATCGAACCGAGGAGCTGTCCACGGAGTCCGCTGTTCCCAGGAAACTTGATCCTGCTAGTGTTCGTAATAATTCTTCTCGAGTGGCGATCGTCGTTGAGATCGGCGGGTCTGAACACCGCGTTCAAGCTCTCCAGCTACAGCGAAATCGTTTCCAACGAACGTACGACTCGAAGGCTTGCTTCAAATTCTTCTCTCAAAAACGACATCGTCCTCGCACCGTCGATTCTACGCGTTGACAAAGCTCGTATCTTTTCACGCGTTAAGAACGATCTCTTGTCGGCAGTTTTTCCATCGCGTAAATGTGATTCGTCGCGACGATCGATATTTATTTCATTTACGGGTGATAATTAATTTATTGGCGGCAGTGGTTGGATCGAGAGAAATTTCCTTCGATCGTAAATCCGCTCGTAATTCTCTTCCTCGACGCTCTTCAACCTCTCGTACATTCTTTTTCTTTTTTTTTTTTTTTATTCGACGAAGATCATGAATCCAACAATTTTATACCATATCATCTGTATTCGACACACGATGAATCAAAGTGAGAAGCTCTCGAGCCCTGCCCTTTCGTAATTCAATTTCGTTATTAATATCTTACGAAGCCACCTCCGTTTCTTTCCGTGCACAGCCTCGTGTCAATTTCTCGTGCGAGATTATTTAAACGAACGTGAAATTTATATCCACTTCTAGAATATATGCTATATTATTAAAATAATCTTTAATTGAAATATCGTGCCTAACGTTCGAACGATAAATTAGATTCAATTTTAAAGGAAGGCGTGCAACTTGGAAAATGTCTCGATACTCTCTTGAAAAAGAAATGCTAATTGAGAGATTTTAACTGAAGGCTATTATTATTAAAACTCTTGTAAATTTGACTTAAAACGTTAATAGACGTAGAGAGACTCGACTTTTATCTTCGATCAAACATCAAAGATTGTAACTTTGTTAGCGAAAAGATAATAAATTATCGTCAAAAATCAAGAAGGATTTCTCGCTACGTTTCGAGGTGATTCGAAAGAAAGAAACGTATGCAGCGCAGATTGCAACGAAGGATGAGAGATTTTTTTTTAAATAAATATATCTCGCTTAAGAATCGGTTGTTATAACGCTGTGTAATCCGTGAAAATGAAGTTCTTGCGAGCTGAGAACAGCTCGTCCCGAGAACGTTCCGAAAATCGGCCGTGACACGTTAATTACAAGCGAGAAACGAAGAATTAAACGGGCGGTTGCCCGCTTGTGTGATTCGGGTTGAGAAATTTCATTTAACATCGAAAATTGCTCGACTCGCGAAATAATGCGGCGGAGAGTTGAAATTTACTTTGTTCGTAAATTAAGCAAGAGATTTCGGGCAAACGTGAGAGTACGTGTGTGTGTATGTGTACATAAAATGCCTATGTCTGGCCAAAAATATCTTGGAAAAAATTATACGGAAAAAAAAAAGTTGTTTGGTCACTTTCGATCTTTTAAACTGTGTAATTTTCATCGATTTAAGAAATACACGAATACACTTTTGGTTTCATTCATTCCTCTTCTAAACTAAAGATAAGTTACACACCGAATAATTAATAATATGATAAAAATTATATAATTCCATTTATTAATAATCGCGCATAATCGTATCATCAAACGTTTTATCGTTTCACAGATACTCGAATCACGCACGACAAATTAGATATTATTAACGACACCTCTGATAGAAAATAAAACGATTTTTATAAACGTACAACGGATTTATATAACGAAAGAACGAGCTTAACGGTACGAAGACGGTTGGAATAACGGTATATAAAAGGAGGGAAACGGATGTCTTAGAGGGGTGGGCGAAGAAACGAGAGAGGGATAAAAGTTGTACGATCTCCAATGTTGTAAAGTGTGCGAGTTGGTAATAAGGCGATGGCGAGGGATGTCGAGCGAGACATAATGCAACGTGCCTCGCATCCCGCAGCATTATCTTCGGATACGACTTTTTTTTTTTAATGCCAACACCGTCTCGCTCGTAAACCCTCCCCCCTTCTGAAAACAGGCTTCTTCTTCCAAACAAATTTTTGCCATGCTAACCATACCTTTAAAGAAACTTTCTTCTCCGTAATATCTTCTATATCATCGTCGTCGAAGATTATTTTACTTTAATACAACTTTAATTAAGAATAAAATTCGAGTTAATTGTATATTTTTAACTGTAATCCTTCTTTTATATTTTTACTTATAGATGGAATAATTCAAGTTGGAATGCAATTTTTTTCTCTTTCTATTTTAAGTTTTTTTTGTTTTTTTTTTTTTTGAAATTTTAAATCGAAGAGTTTTGGGAAAGAATTTTTTATAGAATAATACTTTAACAATTTCACGCCGCGTCACACGTTGTGCATTATTGTTCTTTATACAGTTTCGGGAGAGAAGTATGGATGGAAAATAAAAGATATTTTTTATCGCACAGCGATAAAAAGAGTAAATATACACGTTTCGAAAACGGTATATTTTTTTGCCAATACCGTGTACCGTGCACAGTGTTTACGATACACGGTCAGTGAATAGCAGGTAAACATACGCGCGTTCAATATGTCGGTCGCGAATTCGCGTTTCGAATTCTAATTATTTCATACTTTTTAAAGGGTCGATTAATTCCCTGCGATACGACTGACCTATCTCGTCAAATGTTATTGTCATTTTATCGATCGAATTAACTTGTGAAAAATGAATCTCGTATGTGATACTTTAAAAACTTTTAACACATAGAGATCAAAATAGAAAATTTATCGTGTTTCCGATTCTAGGTCTCGTGGGTTAGGCATCGAGACATTCACCTGCTGACAGTCGGTCGTTACACTTACACGAGCGATCAACGCTTCGAGGCAATGCACACACCGCACACGGAGGAGTGGACACTGAGGATACGATATCCTCAGAAGAAGGATTCCGGTATTTACGAGTGCCAAATATCCACCACTCCTCCCATTGGATATTCCGTGTATCTCACCGTGGTCGGTAAGTTGTCTTCCATATTTTATATCACGACAACAAACCTTTTCAAAAGAAAGTCAAATTGAATAAAACTTTGAATTTTTGGTATAAAAGTCGTATGGTATGCCCTTTAAGTTGCTTTTTATCAGTGACCTGTATTTTCCTGGAAATGCCTTTTTAGGAATCGCGTTTGTCATTTGTCTGGTATTTGGAATAGGTCGGTGAGACGAGATGTCAGCGAGAGTTTCGAGTGCGCGGCGAGTCGATGAACGCTTAAAAATTACCCTCTTCTTTACACGACGATATCTCGGGAACCGGAAATCGTATCGAAATAAATAAAAAAAGATTTTAAAGAGGAGAGTTCCGCGCTTCTAACGATCTTCGATTCATCGACCAAGTTTCGTTGTCCCCAGAGTTGCAGCGATTTGAACTTTTCCTAATTTTAATACGATTCAATCGAGTTTTAGAACGAATTACATACGACACCATATATATTTATTTCTTCAAACGCGTCGCGCTTACACGATCGCAAACGCGTTCAATCAATCGTTCCACATTTTCGAATTTATACTTTGCACGAGGAATCATCTTCCCTTCTCCTCTCGTTTCATCACGAGTTTCTCCTTACGCATACATCCTGTATATTGCACTCGTATCACGTCGTAAACGAGAAACAACAAAAAAAAAAAAATGAAAAAAAGCTCGGATGGAGGTTTTAACGAGCGAGGCGAGGTGTTGCGGGCGAAATTACCACGCGGATATCGTGGTTTAAGGGCATACTTATCGCCACCCGACTTTATAACCAAACAGATATCGCGGCAGTGACGTACGTATCGGCGGTTTAATCGAACACGCGACGACGGCCACATGAAAGGAAACCGCGTTATTGTTCCGAGCAACGTAATTATACCGTGGCGTTGAGGGAGGAGGAGGAGGAGGAGGAGGAGCGTGCGTCCACGAGTGACGTGGAAATTAGAAAATGAGGGGGGGAGGGAGCGGGGGGCGTGGAATCGACCGGAAACATAAATACCACGATGATTATGCGAAGGATAATATCGACCGCTTTCACTATTGTATCGAACTATTATTCGATTAAACGATCTATTAATCCCGTAGAAAATTTTCCTTGGCAAGATCGCCGATACGGTTATTGGGCCGGAATTGTTGCGAATCGAACCGAAATTTCACGACGCGGTATTACGCGAGAGATGTCGCGATAACGCGACCTCCATTTTGTGTTGTTGGATACGATATTATTCTACACTGGATACGGAACGCATCCGTGAAAAATTACGATATTTTAATAAAGAATGGAATAACGCGTTACAAAGTATGTATTAAAGTAAATCTTTGATAAATGTTCAATATACTTCTCAACTGGAATCTTCTATCAATTCTTGTAACATAAGTAATTACAACGATGCTCTAACAGCAATTGAAATTATATTTACAGGGAGAAAAACAGGAACGATAATAATTTTTCTCTTTGATATATCTGGAAAAGTTAGCTTACGATAACTTTGCTAGTAGCCAAAAGCTTTTCCCTCTTTCGAAAAAAAAAAACTAGATAGAAAAATCAGAAGATTCGGAAATAGAGTTGTTGGGAGTCCGATAGAGCGAGAATATCGAAGGATGTAGAAGAAAGAAAGATTCCTCTCTCAATTCGTTTCTTTTCACGAGCGATAGGTTCATTAGCATCGGTCGATAATTGACGTTCGGTTCGTGACTCGGTTTCGCAAAACCCGATTCCTCGCCCGTCCCTTCGATCCATCCTCGACTGTTCCTTATCCTTCGAACGTCCATAGGATCCTCCTCCACTTCCTCGAAATCTTGAGTCCATTTGCAACATTTGCAAGCATCGCTCACGTTTCCACAATTTTATTACTCATTAGTGGTATACTTCGATCATCTGTAACGCACGAAAACTAGGAGTAAAGAAAATTATATCCGTTTTGGGAAAATCTTGTTGGACGAATATGAAAGAATAAAGAATTGAAAAGAATTCTTTCGAAGGATCTTTTCTGGATTTTTTTTTTCTTATTTTCTCTTTTTCCTCTCCCCAAAGGGATTCGTATCTCGAAGATGGTTAAAGAAAAATTTACAACGAAGCAGCTGTTTCCAAACTTTATTATCAGATCTCTGTAGTAGTAGTAGTAATAGTAGTAGTAGTAGTTTCGAAATTCAATTTAAAACTTGTGAATCTTTTATCGATTCCTTTTCTTTTCTCCCCCCCCCCCCTCACCGAAGGAAAGGCGGTCGCGATGAAGTATTCGTGTAATGAAGTGCGTGAAAGCGGCGCAACTTTATCACCATCGGATCGTCAGAAATTGAATACGGTGTAGAAAATTCAGTTTACAAAATTCTCAATGCTCGTAACTCGTGAGCGAAGCGGAGATATTCTTAGGAGGAGATATTCTTCTTATTCTTATTCTATATTTACATTAGTATATTATATTTACTAATGTATAATTTAATTTACATTATTAAATATATGTATATTATTCGCGCCTATGTATACAGATATTTATTCGAGAAAGTTCTCTGTGAAGGTTCTTTTCGTTACCATGGCCAGCAGGCCGTTAATAGACGTAAACAAAGAGTGACTTCTCAAGTACTGTTTTTATGTGTTTTGGTCGGTCTAAGTCGATTCTCAAGTTGACTTTGCGTCCTACACCGTTCTTCGTTTGGGATATTAGGAAGGTTATTATTATTTCTCTACCGTGCGATGTTTTGTGTACAGGCGTAGAATTTCTTTGTCCTTGGACCATGTTGCGAAGCGAGCACTGCTCGCGATGTTATTGGTCATTGGCGTGCCCCACCCAAGAACTAAGACCCTCCCAATTAGGAAGGGATCAAGTTAAGACGATTATTTCCTCTAAACCGCGCTTCAAAATAGACTTTCGTGACGATCAGGTCGTACATCGACAATCGGTTAGCTGTGTAGAATCGTGCTTCGACCGTCGGACACGATACCATAGTTTTGTGAGAGACACTGCTCTTCAATAATCAGCGTCCAACAGTTAGCAGGTCCACAAATAAAAACTACATTAACATTAGTTAACATTAGTAAATATATGTATAATATAATTACGTGTAATACAATTACGTTCTAGGGATTTTTGTTGCTTGATCGGTAACTTTTTATATAATATAAATGCGAGTGTAAAGAATAGGACCAATCTCGTCGCGAGTTCGAGCACGTTTTGTTTCTCATTCCCTGAGAGAGAAAGAACAGAGACCTGGATATTGGCTGCTGGATATCAAGCGCTAAAAAGCGGGAAAAGACGAAGGTTGATTCGAGGATATGTTTCAAGGAAGAAGCGACAAAGGGAATTCGAAAATTGTTCGCTCGTGGATTCGCAGATAGATGTCGTTGGCTTTCGCCGTGTCTAATAAAGGAGGCAGGCTAAAACGAATCGAGAAACAATTGTGTCGTCGAGCTTCCACTTTCCTGCCACTCGACATCCGTGAAATCGCTGCGACAAATTGAGTCCTTCTCACCAACAACAACGACGATCCTCTCTCCTTTTCTATTCCCCTTCTTCTGAAAGTCTTGGAAAAGAAACGATTCTATCGTTTCCCTTCTTCTTCCGTTGAAACCGTTTACCACTTCGCTTCCATCCCCTTCTTTTTCCTTCCCATCTCCTGAAAACTCGCGAAAAATTCCAAATTTGATTCGGAAAATTTCTCGGAACGATACTCGTTGCGAGAGAGAAAAAAATGAAAAGTATATTTTTTCTTTTTTTCTCCGAAAATTTGTGCCATCTGGCAAATTGAATTCCCAGGAATCGACTCGAGATCATCGTCACTCATTTCGACAACACTTTTTAATTCCATGAAGCGAATTTCGTTTTCGCTAATGCGAGAGAGAGAAATAGAGAGACGAAGAATAGTATTTTTTTTTACCTTTGAGCCCCATTACGGAAATAAAATTAATTCCTCGAAAATATTAACTCGAAACACGTTCATTGTTGCATTGTTACTTTATTTCGAGAAAATAATATTTACGCGAGATTTTCTTTACTCTCGACCTAACTGGATATTCCCTTTTAACCCATTATCCTCCAACGTTGCGTTAACGCGGCATTTCATTTTGCAATTTTTTTTTTCTTTCTTCCTCTCCCTCCAACGTCGTGCGTAATTTTGTGTCACATTTTTTTCTTTTCTTCTTTTTAAATCGTAATTACGAAAGAGAGAAGAGGAATCCCTGAAAAATATCTTTCTACCGTCTAATTCCCCCTCTCCCCCCTCCATCGTTTCGCAACGAGTTCATTTCTATTTATCAAGATATTTTCAAAAAAATTTTTTCCATCACAAATTACGTTATTAAATTGAGATATTTTATGCGCGCGCGCGCACACACACACACAAAATTATTCAATAACGAACGATTCTCTACTAACCTCTTGATAAATGATAAATACAAATCGTACCTGTTAAAAATTGTTCGATTCGAGAATTCTTAATCGAGAAAATTATATTCGAATGCTTGATCTTCTTTTCATCAACCTCGCGCTTCGCTTTTTACGAATTTATCGCGAAGAAAGATTGCACGATTGGTCGATCGCTATTCATGCTTTTTATGGCTCGTTTACGATCGAACCACCTCCTCGTGGTGTTATTTTTATCGCGAGCATCGATAAAATCAATTAGTTGCGTGTAAAAAAAATAGCTCCGCCGGATATTTGTCGTAAAAGCCGCAATTCGGCTTCGACGATAATAATTATTTCCTTTCCGTTAATAAATGGATGATAATTGACGAGAAAGAGGAAAAAAAAAAAGAAGAAGAAGAAACGAATCACTTTTTATCCTTTGAAAAGTTTGAATTTAACTTTGAAGTGATATATCTCATTTATCATCATTTAAATTTATCTCCCTCTCGCTGTAAAAATTCATTCCGCACAAAGCGATTTCCTCCTTTTAATTAGGTTGTCTGTTGTTTAATTAATCAAAACGGGGACACTTAGAAATCCCGGTTCGTGTTAAGCCCCGTCGAAAGAGGGTGTGGAAGGGGGAAAAAAAAG